CCAGTCCAAGCGGGGACTCCCACTTCCCGTCAGCAGGAAAGCACCAGACACTTTGCTGGTGTTCCTGGTGTACACTGGTGCAGAGATGCAGCTGGGCTGTTGGGTTTGCCCAGGCACGTTGCCCTGCAGTACTTTAACCCCAGTGCTCCTTGCTCCCAAGAGGAAGCAGAGATTTAAGGCCCTGTGCGCTTGCTCACCTCTCCCCCGCAGGGAGGACTGTGCCCAGCTGCAGCTCACCCTTGCAAAGGGGAAGCTTGAGTCAGTGGGAGAGATGGGTTGTCCGGGGACAAAAATAGACTTCTCCCTGCCCTTGCTTCACGGGGGGTGAGGAGGAGCAAGGTCCACTCCTAGGAGCAAACTCCTTTGGGAATGGTGTTCGGCTGCTTTTGAACGGCAGCGCTGGCGCCTGGGGTCCTCTCTGCAGAGCCGAGAGGCTTTAAACCCTGCAGACAACATCTGAACCCCATCTGAACCCATCACCCCTTGTCCTATCACTACAGCCCCTGATGAAGATCAGTGCCTTTGGGAGGTGCCAGCCCTACCTTGGTGCGGAGGCTTCCTCTGCTCTGGAACATGGACAGGGTGCCCGAAGAGAAACACCAAGGACAGAGGCCAAACTCCCCTTCCAGGCACACCACTGGCAGGGCAATGGATGCTTTTGGTCCAGAGCTACTTGCTGGGAGAGAAGTTCTGGTGCCTGTTGTACCCTGTGCATGTCTCTGGCTTTGCCCATGGTGCTGCTGGGTTCTGTTCACTGACAGGAGCATCCTGCAGGAAACACTCGGGGCACAGTTTGGGCTTTTCTCCCTCATTTGGCAGCTCCTGGTTGCTACGTGCGTGTCTCTCTGGTGTGGATTGGTGGATCTGTTGTTATGGTGATGCTTCATGGAGATCTGCTGCTGGATTCACCAGGTTGCTGTTGGCCTGATGGAGGCCAGGGTCAGCCGTGCTCCGGCCCACTGTGCTGTGTGAACGTGTCACACAGCATGGCAACAACACAGTGCTGTGCACTGAGCTTAGTCCCGGGGTGGACGGTGCTCACAGGCAGCTCTTGTGCAGCTCTTCTGGGCTCAGTTATGAACCCCAGCTTGGTTTGTGTTGGAAGGGACCTTAAAGCTCATTCAGTCCCAATCCCCTGCCATGGGCACGGACACCTCCCACTACAGCAGCCTGCTCCAAGCCCCTGTGTCCAACCTGCAGGGACAGCACCGGGTGCCTTTGGCCTCTCTAGCAGTGGCCATGAGCAGATCCGGACACTGGGCTGGCCTGGAGTTACACAAAGGCTCATATCCCCGTCTTCCTTGACTTAGCAGCCAGCCTTTAGACTGAAGCAGTCTGCTTGCTGCTGAAATGCAGCGCTGGTCTGCAGGCAATGATTTCCACATGCCTGCCTGTGCACAAGAGAGAGGGCCATGGGCAAGGGAAGCATTGAACACATTCTCTTTCCATGACTCGGTGCCTGTGTCGCTATTGAATGGCAGGGCAGCGGAAAGGGAGCTGCTGCCTGGATGCAGTCACTGTAAAACATCCCCTGCAGACCTACACACAGCAGCACACATGCATGTCCATGTGAGGTTGGTAGGGGGGAAATGTGCCTGGGAGCTGCTGGGGATCTGGAGGGATCTGTGGGCAGGGGAATGAGGATGGAGGAGCAGGGAGAAAGCAGGTGAAACCCGTGGGAGCTGAGCTGTGATTCCAAGTCAAGCACATTCCTGTTGCTGCTGTTTTATTGCTCTAGTCTAAGCTGTCAGGTTCAATGTACTTCTGTATTTCCTGGGATTGCCAGGACTCTCATGTGAGAGAACTGGGTTGCAGATTGGAGCTCCCAGACCTCTCTCAAGGAGACAGTGATGCCCACTGGGTACACACTGTTTGGAGGCTGTATCTTCATTAACTGCCTCTTACTGGGCCTGGCACATCATTGCTCAGCTCCTTTTGACATCTTCATTCCAGTCAGCTCCCTTCTAAGCACATCCAAATGACTCCCACTTAGGCTTTGATTCCAGCCTGGAGATGGTGTAGGGGAGCTCCTGCCTCTCACAGGGTGCTACACAAGGCACCTGCAGAGGGCAGGCAGGCAGAGTGCCCCCAGTCTGGGCACTGGGATTAAATGGGGGCTAACAGTTTACAGCAGATACTAACGTAAGAGGACAGGCTGCCTCCATCCACCTTTATGCATTTGGAGCCTTGGTATCACCTCTGCTCAGCTCTTTGCCCTTGCATTGGCCATGGGTCTGAGGTGCTCTCCCCATCACCCCAAGACTGTGCTGGCTCCTCGGCATCCGCGGTCCCTCTCTCCCATCTCTGTAGTGCTGTTTGCTGACAAGGAGGGTTTGGAGAGGAGCAGCCCTGGCAGACCCCTTGGGTCTGTGATTGAAATGCTGCTCAGGATGCTGCAGCCTTCCCTGCTGCTCCTGGAAACCGCTGCAGCCTGCTTGGTGCCTGCAGCCTGTGGAGCAAGACACTGCTGCCCCTGGCTTAGCACAGGAGCCCAGCTCAGCACCTCCGGCTGCTGTGGTTTCAGGAGGGGTGCAGAGGCATGTGGTGAACAGCAGAGATGGGATCGCTTCTACCTGGAGGATGCCCTAGCACTGTGCCAATGGCATGAGCAGCTCAGAGCCATCATCCTGGGTTACAGGCATCCCAGCCCTGTGCGGTTCCAGTCTCCATCCAGCCTGACCCCTGCTTGCTGCAGCTTTCCCTCTTCTCTCCCCTCTCCAAGCAAAGGCACAGCTGAGCTGAGGTGCTGTCTGCAAGGAGGTGACAGCAGAGGGGTCCCGGGGGGAGGAAGATCATCAAAAGATGCAGTTCCTATCAAGAGGGAGAGCAGGAAGGGATCCCAAGGCAAGGGATGCGCTGGGAACTGCACAACTGGGAGGAGGAGGATTTGCTGAGCAAAGTCTCCCCCAGCATGAGCTGAGGTGATCACAGGCACAGACTTACACAAAGCCTGCTCTTAGGCTGGAGATTTGGAGCAATTCCTTCTTCTCTGCCTCTGTGTTTGAGAGCCTCCCTGCAGGCGCTGCCTTGCAAACACTGCTCAGCACTGCAGAGGCACCCGCTGCTGGGTGCCAAGTCCAACACCAGTGACCTGAGCCCGTGTTGCCTTTCACAGAGCACACATTAAGGGACAGTTTGCTCTGGCTGTTCCTGGTGGAACAGACCCAGCCCCATTACACAGGGCAGAGTCTCATTGATGCCTCAGCAGTCTGGCAGGGAGATGCCCTGTGCTCCTGTCCCATGTGCTGGTGAGCATCAGGCTGGAACACAGCTCCCTCCCACCACTCTCTAACATGCATGCCATGGGGTCCCTGCCCGGCTTCCCTTCTCCACACCCTCCTCCCAGAGCCACCCCTGCCAAGCTTACAGCAACCCCTTCCTGCTGGTTATTGTCAGTTATGTCTGTGAGGGATGTTATGCTCCAATAACAGCAACTGAGCTCCTGTCTCTGTCCACTAATGGCTTCTAATGTTCTTGCTCCTTGAACGTCTCTCTTGGAGCTGGCTCCTCCGTCCATCTCCAGTCTGGGGCTTCCTTTCCTTCACCAGCCACAGCTTTTGCTGGAGATCTCCTTTGCTTTTTGATTTAAAATGGGCTCAGTGGTCTCATGGAGCAGGTGGCAGCAGTTGTTAGGCTGAGGGCTGGGCTGTGCTGGGAAAGACACAAGTGCTTGAGAGACCTCCCTCCTGGAGACATCTCCCCTTTAAGCAGAGGAGATGGGCAAGGGTGGAAGCCAGAGCCATGCCAGAGCCTGCGGGAAACATGCTGGTTCCTGCAGCCGGTGGCATGAAGGGAGCGTGAGGACATCGTCACCCCGGGCTGCGCTGACTCTGCAGCACACATGACCAGGTACTCATTGACCAGGGATAGGGGAGGGCCTCTGGGTCTCCCCCTTTGCTGCTCCTCCCCGTGCCCTGCGGTGCAGGGCACAAACCGGCTGCTTGTGTCACAGGGGATGGGCCTCACCCCTGCTGCAGTCATCGTGCCCCAGCCAGGGCAATGTGCCCCAAGCCCGAGCTCTGCAGGGGCAGTTCCAGCCCACTGAGCCCTGTGAGCTCAGCTGGGTCCTCGCTCATGTGCTCCCTGATGGCATTGACTGAAGAGCTGGTGTCAGATGCTTGACCCCAGTCACAGAGCAAAGCATTACTCAGGGCTTCAGGTCTGGGCTCAGTGTTGCCATGGGACAGGCTAAAGTGAACAAACAAAATGGGTCCTGGTAAAACATCCCTTTCCTCCACGGGGGCTGGTTTTACACTTTGGCAATGCCATCTGTGGAGCACTTCCCTGTTCTTCCAAGTGTCTCCCAGCAAGCCTGATGGTTCCAATATAAGAAACGAGAGTCAGCAAGTCCACCGAGACTCCCACATGCTAAGAGGAAAAGGGAAAAAGGAGTTCTGCCAGCAGCAGAATGAAGGAAGCCCAAATATGTGCGTTCTGGACAACCTTCCTTGTGGAATCTATCTGGGAAGGAGAAAATCCTGTATGAGAAGCTGCTATATGCTTCCCTGCAATAGGATTTCCTGCAGAGCTTGTGCCCCCTTTCCTCTTCCTCACCAGCTGCGCTCTCCAGGTTCCCACTCTCCATACTCTGTGGAGATGGATTTTGCTCCTTCCTTGCCGAGGTGTCCCGGGGGCATCCCTCTGCCTCTCCCCTCCCCATGAAACCTCCCGCACATGCCCCAGATTTAGGCAATACCCACTAATTACAAACACTCTCCTGACAGACAGGATGCTCTGTAGGGGGAAGGTGAGGATTCACAGAGCTGGGGATACAAGAAACTAATTAGCTTCAGCCAGGCAGCGCTGGCACCTCCCGTCAGCCTCGTTCCGTGGCTGCTCTATTTTTGGCAAACTGAGACTGTTTGGCTAAATATAAGACAACAAATGGCTGGGATGGATGGGGAAGGCACTGCTGAGCACATAACCCCAGCGGAGTGACGGCGCCCGGCCTCCCCTGCCCTGCCCAGAGCGGCGAGGACCCGGAGGAGCTCACGGAGTGGGGCGCTGAGGTTGGAGCAGCGGGCGCGCGTGTCCGCGGCTCCTGCGCGCACCGCTCCCGGCCCGGCTGCAGGGGCACAGCGGGGCCGAGCCCATCCCGGGGCTGCGGCGGGGAGGAGCCAGCGCCGCACCGAGCCCAGCGCCGGGTCCCGCACTGCTCCCGCACGGCTCCAACCCCTTCCGGCTCCGGCACCGCTCCAGCCCCGGAGCGGCCCCGCAGCTCCCGTTGCGCCGCCCCTGCCCTTCCCCGGGACCCGGCGTGGCGGCGGCAGGAAGGAGGAAGGAGGGAGAGCGACCTGCTCGGCGGTCGGTGAGTACCGGTAACCCCTGCCCATCGCTGCCCGCAGCCCCGGCGGCCGGGGAACGCCGCTGCCTTCGGGACTCTTTGGGCAGAAAGTGCTCGGGGAGGGGGGGCTGAACTTGGAGGTGCAGCTCTGGACAAGCGCAGCAGGGGGTTGTACCTGGCTGCGCCGTAGCGGGGGGAGCCCTGCGCGTGTTTTCGTCCTAAACACGTTTAGGAAGCCCTTGGGCAGCCCTGCGCTCTCTGTCGCCTTCAGCACGCACCGGTCGGTGGGAACCCCTGGGATGGGTCCCTGTGGGAAGGACTGGGGGGCCCCCGGTGTGAAAGGTTCCGGGGGAGCTGGTAGGGAGTGGGGTAGGTTCCCAGGCTGGAATCCTGCCGCCGGGGGGTTCCCGGGGTGGATCCTGCCGCCGCTGGCTTCCTGGGCTGCAGTCCTGCCCCTGGCCGGCAGCTTGGGTTCTCGTTGTGCTGCATTGGTTTGGGGTTGTCAGTCTCGGCTGGATCTCTCCAGTACGCCTGTTGCGCTGACAAGTTCCCAGGGGCATGCAGAACTTGCCCCTGGGTGCTGTCCCCCTCCTCTCTGGCGATGCTCCCCTGGGTAAGCCTGGTCTCCCTGCCATGCCAGCACTAGCTCCTGTAGTCAGGCTTTAATGCACTGCCCCTTCCCTCCGTGAAAATCAGCTGCAATGAGTGTGCTGGGTGGCGGGCACAATGGTGGCATTAGCTCTGAAAAAGAAGAAAGCATCAGGGTCCAGCCTGGGGCTGCTGGGGTTGGGTTTTGGTGCTCTGCATCAACCAAATGAATGGCGTGATGTGTGCTGGGGTTGGAGAAGGAGCCTGAAGGGGAAGTGCTTTGAACAAGCAGCAGGGAAAAGTTAGTGCCTCTGGATGAGATTTGTGAAGGGGCAAGTGCCTTCCGACAGGACCCTCTTCCTGCAAGGAAATGGGATTAATTTCCTCCTTAGTGGTAATGGGGCAGCGTGTGCTAACACAGAGAGCTGAGATGTGGGAAACGCAAACAGAGTCTTGTTGTGCAGTGTCACCAGGCATTGCCACGGCATCTGGTCACCCCATCTGTGGATAGTCATGAAAACCAGTTCCCATGATCCTTAAAAGATTCCCTTGATGCAAACAGCAGGCCATGAGCTAACCGGTCAGTTCGTGTCAGTGGGAACACATCAGTAGTGGCACGCAGAGATTTCCAAGTGCAGTCTAGAGCATCCTTTCCTCCCTGCAGAAGGCACAAGTACATTGATGGGAACGGTATGTCCAAGAGCCTGATGCGAAGAAGGAGCAGAGGCAGGAACAGAAGGAAGGTGCCTGGTTCACCCCATCCATGAAGCTCTATTTGTGTGTGTATGTGTGAAGCATTTAGCCCCCAGTTTCCTGATGTTGAGGTACCATGTCCAGTGAGGGCAGTTCCTAAACAAGTAGTGGAGCAACCTCCCCAGCAATGGCTGGGGGTTCCTCCTCTCTTCTGCTTGGAAAAGGGGAGATTTTGTGACTAAAGATCAGGACTCTGCAGGTGTGACCCTGTCCCTGGCCTTGCTGAGGGTTCTGACAGACCTTGGACACGTCAGCATACCCTATGCCTGAGTTCCCCCATCTGCTAACACTTGACCTTGCTTTGCTCCCCGAGATCTATAGAGCTTTGGGATGCTGGCAGAGATAGGCATGGAAGCACTGAAATACATGTCTCAGTGCTGCAAAGGCCCCTTTCACTACACAAGCACTCTTTGTGGGCCCCTGAATGGACCCTTCAGACAGGCTTGGAGTGACAAAGAGCAAAGTGATGGTGTCACACATTCCTCCGTCACAGGTGACTGAGATGCAGCTGAAGGAACGTGCTGGCTGCTTCCCACTGCCTTCCAAAGGAGCTGCTTTCAACCTCAGTGCATCCATTGCCATCGGTGCTGCCTGGTTCAGCACAGTTGGGCTGGGGACAGCCAAGAGCACGGGTGCAGGAGGAGACAGCTTTTGCCTTCTGTCGCTGGCACTGAAACCAGGCAAGAGAGATGAAGGCAACTTCATTTTGCACACAGGGAAGTGGAGAGAGAAAATGGCTTGCTCAGGGTGCTGCAGGGAGCCTGTGCTAGCGCAGGGCACTGAGATTTGACCTCCCAAGTGCCTGAGGAACCTCCATCCTCTGTCCTGCGTGCTGTGCTCTGCCGGATCGTGAGACAGAAACCTGTGTGTGCGCTGTCTGTACATCCTGTGTGCATTCAGGTACCCACGCTGCGGATTCCACTGAGCCCATGCCCTTGGGCTGGCCCTTCTGGCTAGGCATGGATGTCTGTCACTGCTTGTAAACCCTGCGGCATTCCTCTGGCTCCCACACGCACCTGAGGCCTGGGCCAGGAGCTCTGGGAAGCTCCAGAGAGTCTGGGCCACGTGTTCGGAGCCGTGTCCAAGTCACAGCGAGGGCTTCCAGGAGGGAAGAGCCTCCTGAATTCCCCTTCCACGCTCCGGGAGCTTGAGGCAAACATCAGGCAGCGTCTGCAGGGGTCCTGGCTACAGAGCTCAGAGATCCCAACCCAGGCTCTGCACAGTGACGGGGTTGGAAGCCTCAGAGGTCAGCTCTGGCTTACGGCATGGTCTTGGTTTACGCCTTTACAGGTAGAACACCAAGAAAAGGTCTCTCTTTTCCAAAGGCCCTTGAAGTGCTCTCAGCAAACTCTGCCCTGCAGAGGGTTCACCTCCTGGGTTGGCTTTCCTCTGAATTCCCTTGCTTCTGCTGTTTGTCAAGGGCAGTCTGATAGCAGAAACAACCTGTTGATGGATGTAGATGTGAGAGCCCCGATTGCAATCTGGTGCTCAATTAACTGCAGAGTCGCTCTGTAATCAGAGGGAGCATCTTTTGCTCTCTTTACACTGCTAAGCAAGGGGGGGGATTTTTCAGATAGCATTTTGCCTGCAGCTCCTCTGCTGCTTGTTTGCTCTCACAATCTCAGCTCCCATCTTTGGCTGGAAAAGGAGCTGCTGTGAGATGGTTTTCCAGCCCCGGAGCAGAGCCAGGAGGGCTGCAGAGGTGGATGGGGTTCCTCTGTGCTGCCAGCACCGCTGCACTCTCTCATCAGTCTTGATCTTTCTTTTGTCTCCCTCCTTTTGTGTGCCTGTTCTTGCTGTAGCCCCCATCACAGCCTGAGCTCTGTGTTCTGCCTTATGGGTTCCCCACTCTTTTGGGGATGAGCTCCAAGGCACCCCAATGAAGGCCAGGTTTCTGCTGTTAAGTCTGGGCACGCTGCGTTCCCACTGGGAAATGGCCACAGATCCCCAGCCCAGCACAGCCCACGGCTGAGGATCTCTGCTGAGGATGGGACCACTCCTTTGCACACCTGAGCAGCTCTTGTTGGATTTCTCACTCGTGCTGAATGCAGAATGCTCCAACGTGGAGGCAGGACCTGCAGGGATGCTGCTTGGAGCTGGATATCTGAAGGTCCTTTCCAGCCCAAGCCATTCCATGGATGCTCGCTGCTTTTTGGGAGCAAGGTCTCCCAGAGCAGCTCAGGTGGAGCCATTTCAGAGCATCTCAGTCTGTGCTGTGCCTCTGTTCCGCTTCCCTTTTAGCTTCCTCTGTGCATTTAAATCAGGGGTGTCTTGAAGCAGGGATGATGGCTGCACAGTGAGCCCTCAAGCTCAGGGGTCAGTGGGCACAGCCATAACACAACCAATACATTATCCAGGCAGCACATCCCTGGTGCAGTGATGTCAGTGCCCGGCACTGTCACCTCTGGCAGCCGCAGGAGCCCATGGTGTCATTGGAGCTGTTGCTGCTGCGGTCGAGGTGATGGAGATTCTGTCTGTCCTTTGGGCACCCTTTGCTGTCCCTGTCATGTTTCTATCACTGGAGACCTCCACGTGAGCCCGTTCCCCTCCTTGTCTTCCTTCCCCCTCCCCAAACGCTTAGCTGTACCCTTTAAAACAAGCCAGGTTTCCCCAGCCCGGGGGCTGGAATGGGGCTGGGTTGGAGCAGTTTCATGGGGTGCTGCTGTGGTGACTTCTAATTGAATCACTAAGTGAAAAAGGAGAGGCTGTTTGAGCTCGCCATAAACATGGAAACATCCAAAGAGATCAAAATGTGCTTTTTTGGGGAAGCGCAAACATTCCAAGCGTTCCGGTTATTTCTGCTGCTTCTCTATTTGGATTTCAATACTTTCTTCTTCCTGGCTCTATTGAATTACCTTGGGAAGTGTCAGGATGCTGCTCCCTCAGGGATAGGATTCAAGATCCCGCTTAGGTTCAGCTGCAGCCCCCCCTCTGCTGTCTCGCTGCCCACTCTTGGAGCTGGTGTCTTTTTTTAGCTGCTAAATATGTCAAGGTTTGTGAACGGGAGCCTTCACTCGGCGCTTGTGAGCATGCACATGCAGTTAGATTCAGCAGGGCTGGGGGTTCTGTCTGTGTTCCAGCATGGAACATCACCTGGAGCTCAGGTTTATGCCTTCGAGCATGAGCGGGTGGAAACCCTCTTAGACTGGGGGCTTATGCACCGAGATGGGTACCCCAAGATGCAGGCAGGGACCTACGGGGACCTTCAGTAGCGCTTTGGGTTCCTTTCTTTTTCTTTTGGACTTGAAAAATCAGGTTTGAAGACTGTAACAGCAGCTGAAATGGTGTCTTTTCACCCAGCAAGTGCATCTAGCCATGGTGCTCGGTTAAATCCCCCTTCCTGCCTTACCTCAGCAGATGCTTGAGTGGTTTAAATCAGCATTGCTCTGCAGGAGACCCACAGCAGCACAAACACAGGGCTTTTGTCACCAGCCCAGGCTGTGAGTGTCACAAGTCCTCTCTGGTTTCATAGTAGGACATCTTATAACGTGAGCTTGTGTCATCTCTGCTGTCATCCAGATAGCACAGAGAGCTAGAGACTAATTTCTGCAGCACCAGCATCCCAGTGACCTGATAGCGTGATCCAGGATCCAGTCCTGATCCAGTTGATCCATAAACAACCAACCAAAGGAAATGGGGTAGGATCCACTGCCAAATCTCCATTTACTTGCTGTGTGACCTCG